GCCACGGACAAAGCTGGAAAGTAAGGCTGTGACGAGAGCAGTTCAAGGAGTAGGCGCCCGCCAGGTACTAGAGGTCGGCACTAACCTTAGTATGACAAGCCCCACCTCCCCAATACCCATGAGTAATAGTTAGCCCCTTATGCTTCAGTGGTCGTGCCGCCTCGGTTGGTAAGATGCAAACAAAGGTATATTACACCTGAGAAAACCCCGATCAGTGGATGATTTGCAAGCTAATACTATGGATCTTGACATCGATTGTGAGATCGATAATGAGATCGATAGTGGAATCGATAATGACGACGATTGTAAGGTCGATCGTGAGACCGAAAGTGACATCGATTCAATGAGATCGATAGCGAGATCGATCGCGAGATCGCTCATGCGATCTCTAGTGTGATCGATTGTGAGATCGATGGTGAGATCGATAGAGAAGTGGGTAATGAGATCGATGGTGAGACCGATCGATAAGAAGATCGACCAGGAACCCGGGAACCTCGCCGCCCTCCGAAATCGGCCCGGAATCGGGAACCCGGGAACCGAGCGTGCGACCAACATCGGCGGGACATTTTCGCCAAATCACCCTTTCAGTGCAAGCACTGATTGGGGAAAAAATGTAATTATGGGGCTGCTACCCTTGATAGGCATACGATGCGCTGCCTGTGGTGCTGTCTTGTAAGGCTGGCTCTCCTGGCTGGCCTGGCAGGTGGAGCCGCTCCCTGTGAGTCAGGGGGTTCCAAAGTAGGAATGTGAGGCAACGAGTGACGAATTCGTCTAAAAAGATGTCTAAACGTGTCTAAACGTGTCTAATCATGTACATTTAATAGAACACATTAAAAACACAGCCGCGAACCATTGTAATTCACAGTATACGCGACACATCAAAATAGACACGCGCGCGCCTCGTGAATGAGCGAAGAGTATCAGGGAACCGCGCGCCCGAATAGACACGACACCCTCGTCTTCCAGGGAAAGAGGTGCAGATGACAGCTTGAGGGACCACGTGTAACGATTCAGGCTTACAGCAGGTGGCAGTGCGTACGAGTGCGCGCAAGGTATACACAGTGCAATTCTGGGGCTGCTACCCTGGTAGCCAGAGTGTTCAGTCCAGCTAGGCGAGCGACTATCAGAGCTGATGCGCACCATGTCAGTAGGAGGTTATTGGTCACAAACCCGAATCCAGGAAAAGATTGACCCCAGCATTGACGCCGCTTGCCCCCGATGTGGTTGCGCCCCTGAAGTGGCTTGTCATCGATGTTGGGGGCGCCGCCAGAACCAAGGGGAAGCGTGCGAGGGTTCAGGCCTGCTTATTCCAGAAGCGCATGCCCAGCACGGGGTGGAACCTTGCTGCTGGTGGACGGGGTAACTTCCTTCGGTCGCCATGCCGCTGCCTTGCTCCCCCCCGACCCAGATGGCAGTTGGTGGCGCGGCGGCTGCGATGACGTGTTCCGGGCTGCCAAGGGGGGGGGAGCGGATGGCCAGCCTTCCGCGGTGTTTGGGGGTGCCAGCGGGGGCAAGCATTCTAGATGTCGTCGACTCCGAATCTGTGGATTGGCAGTTGCTTCGTTCCCCCCATTCGAACCAGTCAGCACGCGGGCGTCGCCGGCTTGGGCGCTGCCTCGCCAGCGGGGGGCAGCGGCGCGAGGCTGATTTTATTCGGTTGAACTCGCTCTCCGCGCGATTGATTCACGTTTTTTATGTTACGTCGCTGATAATCAAGCGGTTGCGCCAGGTTGTTGCATTCGTGCCGACATCTGCAGCCTGCGGGACCGGGCGCTAGTTTGCGCGTGGTCTCGCATTCGTATCTTGATCCAGGACAGGAGGGCTCATGTCTGCATGTTGTTCGTCAGCTCCCACTGAAATGCTCGGCAGGTGGTTCCCGCGGGCCCCCCGTGTCGGCTGGTTCGCGGGGCTCTCGCGGCCGGCGCGCCTGCGTCGGAGGCGGCGCGCAGGGTCCAGGTCAGCGAAGCTAGCTTCCATCAGCTGCAAACGTCAGAACTTCGGGCATGGCGAGAGCGTCGTCGGCTCCCTCGAGCTAGGCCTGGATTCGAACACTGCCGAAGAGCGCGCTGGGAGGAGGAAGGGCGTGCGATCAGTGAGGGCCCCCCCCCATCCCAGTCAGCTGTTGGCCTGGCATCGCTCCGGACGTGTGCATTTGTTCTCGGCGGGGACCATCGAGATGCATCCTGGACCATCGAGCAAAACAAAAACACGCACGAGACGGGAAAGTACACGGGAAACGGACGTCCGAGCGATGGCAAGTTGGTATTTTAAGAGATCACGGTGACCCTGGTAAAAGTGCAGGAGGAGCTGTGGGTCGGCTACCCTCGACACCACGAATGAGCGGGTCTCCTCCCCTTGGCTTCTCTCTCCCCCCACTGTGACGCCTGGTCTTCCGCCTTTCCCCTGGGGGGGGCGGCCTCACCTCGGGAGGGGCTCGGGCGCGCAGTGTTCGCAGGACGAGGTTGCAGAGCGGTCGTGGTGTTTGGTTATGTGTGCGTTGCGGTTCTTACTTGGCATCGCTCGGACGTGTTCATTTTTCATTCGGCGAGGACCATCGAGGAGCATCCTTGACCATTTGGCGGGAAAAAAACACGCACGAAACCGAACAAAACACAGGGAATGGACGTCCGAGCGATGGCGAGCTTATGCCCATGCAAATATGCGTGAGCTGGCGAAACCATGCACGAATCAGATCGCCCCCCACAGGCGCGAAATGTTGTAGTCGCCTACACATGGGGAATTGGCCCAAGTTGCTCAGGATGGCTGAGCAGATCCAGAGGGCCGTTTATCTTTGCTCGCAGCGACTACGTCGGATAGCCCGTTTCCGTTCCCGCTGTTCCTCCTCTTTTTGGTTATTCTTCTTTGTTTCAAATTTGTCCAGGGCGTTTTTAGGTTTGGTGTGTGTGTGCTGTGTTCAACAAACACCGTTTGTAAACGGGCGTTTCTTTACCGTTATGAATTCGCCGCAGTGGAAGTCATGTTTTTTTTTAAGCGCTTGTACTTCCCTCTGCATTTGTTCCCCCACATATATATATATATATAAATCGTTTCGTTTTACAAACAGCTTTGCACGCCCCACTCGCAAGCCGCCTGCAGATGTGAACGGTCCGTTACATCGCCGTCCTTGCTCAAGTTTTTCGGGCGGCAGCGCCATCCCAGCTTGTATGGAAGTCCTCGGCCTCCTGAGCAAAACAGCGCGCGGCGCTATCGCCATACTTGATTCGGTTGGGCCAGGGCTGGGACCGCTGGCTGAGGAGGCCTCTGACTGTGCGTTGGCCGTGGGCTCGTTCGGGAGCATCCGATCGCTGGCCGTCCTTTGTCTCTTGGCGGGGTTTATCGCCTGCGTGAGCTTGACCTTGTGCTGCTGCCTCGGCGGACATGTCCTATCTACGCCCTGGGCGTCGCGTTCGCCTCCTGTGGGAGGTGGGCGGTACCTGGCAGGATCGGATCTTGTTGTGCGAGTGCCAGAGCTCGGAGTGCGAAACAGAGCTGGAGGTGACGCCGAGTCCGATGGAGATCGCTGGACGCCGCGTGTGGTACGCCCTCACTCAGACCTGGACGTGTACCCACACATCTTGTCGGAGGGCCACCTCTCAGGCTTCGTGGCTCTGAAAAACGACGGGTCGCCGATGACGGAGACGGCGTTTGGGCGCCAGCGGAGGGCAGCGAGTGCGGCATACGGCGCCGAGTGGGAGCCGACCGCGCTCGAGGTGTGCGAAGCCCTGGAGGCGGTGAGGCCAGGCTGCCTGGCCCTCCAGGGCGGCGAGAAGCCTTCCCGGCGCATCAAGGGGAAGGCCTCGTGGAGGTCGACTCCACCAGCAGCAGCGGCAACTAGCCCGGCGGAGGAGCTCTATCCAGGCCTGCTGGTGGGATCGGGACCACTGCCCGCCAACGACGGGCTGAGCTGGTACGTGCTGGCGGGGGAGAACCCGACGGAGCTCAGGCAGGCGGTGCGCCACCAGGACTTCGACGGATATCTGGTCGTGGGGAAGGTGGGCATCGCCACTCGCGGCGCCGACAGCATGCTGGTGAAGGCCGTGGACCCCTCGTCGCTCGGCCCGGAGCTGGAGACAGACGCGCGGGTGCTGGACATCAAGACCAGGCCCGACGGCAGTCGACATCGTCACTTCGCTGAGGCCGCCCGCCTGGTGTCGACCACGGAGTGGGCTGAGTGGCCCATCGTGGGCCCGAGGACGGCCGCATGGTGCCTGGAGTTTCTAGCACGCCAGGACCAGCATCCTCGGGCCCGACACACGAAGTGGGTCCACGAGTGCAGGCTGGAGGCCACGGACGAGGGCGTCGGCGACCGCGACCTCGCCATGCGCATGGCGGAGCTCGGCCTCAGCTTCGATCAGCTGAACCTGGGCGAGCTCGCCTCCTTCGAGCTCTTGATGCGGAAGGCCCAGATGGCCGAATGGCGGCATCGTGATCGCCTTGCGGCCGTCCAGGGTGGCGACCTGATGGAGGAGAGCTACCTCTACCTCGGCACAGGTGAGACCCGCGGGCTGGTGATGGTCGCGCCGGCGCTGGTCGACCATATCAACTCGGAGATGCATCGCGAGGCCCAGATCCTCAAGGAGCGCCGCAAGGCGAAGGAGGAGAGGATGCTCTCACGAGGCGGCGGCAGCGGCGCCGCTGGGTCCAAAGCGGAGCTCCAGAAGAAGATCCAGCAGCAGGCCGCCGAGCTTAGGAAGATTCAGGAGAAGGGCGCGGGGAAGGACCAGGCGGCCGGCCGCGGGGCCGGCCGGGGCCAATGACGCGGCCACCTGGGATCGCGCCCCGCGAGCTGCTGCCACTTAGCGGCTTCGCGGCGGCGCGAGCCGACGGCGGCCCCGCTGGGCTGTCGAGGGCGGCGCGCACACGCGTGCGCCGCCGCGTGCACGTGACGAACTGGGTCGCCGACGCGGCCGAGAGCCTGAATTCTGAATGCCCTATGCGGTCATGGTGGCGCCCGAGAATATTTTTCAGTTTCAGCTGGGCAGCAACGCAGCCTGGAATTCATGCAGTCCATCATCGAGCAGGCGGGCCCACCGCCCTGCTCGCCCGCGGCAGCCCCCCAGGAGCTGCGCGGCCACCAGCCGGGCTGCGCTACCGAGCCCGAGCAACCCGCCCAGTACCAGAGGGAGATTTTCTCCCTGCCGGGGCCGGGCGCGCGCTGTGATCCCAGCGGCGTCTTGCGTGGCCTCGAGCACGATCAGCGGGTACATTGGGAGAGACATTTGTCGCGCCGAACGCCTGCACCTGACAAGGAGATCAAGCTTCACAACGATCGCAATCTTATGGCGGATAGGCGGTGCTATGCGCAGTTCATCTTGGACCTGTTCACCTCCGGCCTTGTCAGAGTCGGGGCCAAGCGCAGTGCCACGGTGGGCGTGTTTTGTGCGTGGAAGAGCGGACGAGAACGGCTTTGGCTCATCTTCGACGCGCGACGAGTCAACGCACGATTTCATGACCCTGATCACTTTCAGCTGCCCAGTGCCGCCGCGTGGGCGGCGCTACGTACCAATCCTTCTTCTTCGTTGAGTATGGCTCAGGCCGACGTGGACAACGCCTTCTACAGGGTGAAGTTGCTTGACAAGATGGACGAGCATTTCTCGTTGCCGAGCGTGCACTTGAGTTCGCTCCGACAGCTCGCCGAGGCGGCTGGGGTGATCATTGACCTGCCCGACGCCCGTTTCGGTTCGCCTCTCTTGCAAGTGTTGCCAATGGGGTGGTCGTGGAGCCTCTATTTCTGTCAGGGGCTGCTGGAGACAACCGTGCTGCGGTCGGGGATCGACACCGGGCCGCTCATCATGGACCGCCACGCCCCCCTGCAGGTCCGCACCTCTTCGACCCAGCCTGGTGTTTACGTCGACAACGTTTGCGTCGTCGGCGGCGACGGCGACCGCTGCGTGGCCGACTGCGCCAAGTTCGTCGGCGAGCTGGAGCAGGTCGGCCTGAAGTGCAAGGGCGTCATGGAGCCCGAGGACCTGCAGACCTTCACCGGCATCACCTTCGAGGGGCGCAGCGGGCGAGTAGGCATCAGTCCGGGTCGGATGCGGAAGATCCGACTTGCACTGTTGTTCGTGGCGGACCGCCGCTCGGCCACGGGGGGCGAGATCTTTAGCTTACTTGGGCACTTCACTTGGGCCGCACTCTTGAGGCGGCCCCTTTCAATAGGCATACGTCTTTGCCCGTGTCGCTGGACACCGCCGCCGACGGCTGTGGAGCCGCGTGGAGCTCGAGCTGCGGCAGGCGGCTGCCTTGCTGGTCTTCGCTTTCTCCGACTCCAAGAGGCCCAACAGCCCCTTCGTCTGCGCCTCGGACGCCTCCCGGGGCCAATCTGGTTCAGGAGGCGGCTATGGCGTGGTAGGGCAGACCTGGGCCGATGAGCTCGTGGAGCGCACCGCCTCGTCAGCTGTGGCCTGGCGATACTCCGTGCTGGACGCTATCGGGGCCCGCGAGTGCGCGCTTGGCTTCGACCCGGTCGAGGGGGCCAAAGTCGGCCGCCGCCAGGCCCGCGCTGGCTGCACCAGCTTCGAGGGGGTCGTGAGGTCCTCGATCGGTGACTTCAACGATTGGGGTGTCCTCTTCCACGGCGAGTTTCAGCGCGACGAGGACATCGCCGTTCTTGAGGGGCGAGCGGCTGCAATGGCCGCGCGGCACGCAGTGCGAGGGCGCTGCGGGCATAGTCATCGGCACCTCATCTTGGTCGACAACCTCGGGCTCGCACTCGCGGTTGGAAAAGGGCGCTCCCCTTCCATCACTCTCAATCACGTCCTGCAGCAGCTGTGCGCCATATCTATTGTCACCGACACAACCCTCGCCCTCATATGGATTCCGTCAGAGTGGAACCCCGCCGACAAGCCCTCTAGGCTCAGGCTCCATCATACGTTGGACGCTCGCGCTGACCCCCGACATGCTGCGTATCTCGGAGGCCCGTCAGCCAGCCCCAGCGGGCTCCAGGCCCTCGGCCGGGATGTTGACGCGCTCGTTCGGAGGCGCCACGGCCGCTGTGCCGCGGCTTCGGGTGCGGAGCCCAGCGGCCCCAGCGGGCCTGGCGCGGCTGGGCTCGGGGACGCACTGAGCGACGACCCCTGCCCGCTCGGTGGCCTCGCGGGGCTCCTCGGCGGGGCAGGCAACGGCGGCGCGGTCGGCGACGACTCCTCATCTTCGAGCTCGGACAGTGGCATCGACCAGGCGTGCGAGACCGCCCCCAGCGAGGGCCGAGGCCCTCCGCCTAGCCCGGGCGAGGGCTCGCCATTCAGCCCACCGCGGCGCAGACGAGCGAGCCCAGGCCGAGGGGCTCACGGTGCTGCAGGGCCTGAAGGTCGGCAGCGCGTCCCGCGTGTACTTCGAGAAGGAGTACCTGGACTTCCTGACCTGGGCCCGCTCGAGGGGCCTGTCGATCCTCGGGCTGGCGCCCATCGACTCGACCTTCTCCCAGTACCTCGATTTCCTGTTCTGGGAGGGCCACAATCACCACAAGGGGGACAAAGCCTCCCCGCCGTTGAAGCACTTCAACCCGGGCCTGGGCTTGACTGCGGCGGCGGCTCTGGAGAGGACCGCCGCCGGGCTGCGGGGCTTCCGCAAGCTGGCGCGGGGGTCGACGCAGGCCCCCATGGCGAGGGAGCTGCTGTTCACGGCCGCGGGCGTCGCCCTGCACCGAGGCTGGCGGAACTTCGCCATCGCCCTGGCGCTCAGCTGGGACACGATGGTTCGGCTTTCCAGCGAAATCGTGCAGATGACGCCCGCGACGCTGGTTGCGCCCGCGCCTCGCTCCGGCCGAGTCGCGTGGAGCCTGCTTCTTTTCCCAGAGGAGTACCATCAGGTCAGCAAGACCTTGGGCTGCGACGAGGGCGTCGCGCTGTCAGACTCGATGTCCGTGGCCCTCGGCGTGGACCTGGCCAGGCTGAAGCGAGGCCGCCCAGACGGCAAGCCGCTCTGGGACTTCGACGCGAGGGTCTTCAACGCCAAGTTCAGGACGGTTTTCGACCAGCTGGGCCACCAGGACTGCCACCCGTACCGGGTGCGCCACGGCGGAGCCTCGTACCGAGCCGCAGTCCTGGGCGAGAAGCTCGCGGACATCCAGGCCACGCTGAGGCACCAGTCGGACAACTCGACGAAGCGGTACGCCAGGCGCGTCAGGTACTTCGCGGAGGTCGGGAAGCTCAGCCCCGAGGTGGCGCAGTTCGGGCGGGACATCGACGCCCGCCTGGGCGACCCGCTGCGGGGCCGGGCGCCGCTGCCGCCGCTGCCGCGGGCTCGCGCGCCGCGCTCCGCGCAGGGCGCAGCTGGCGCGGCGGTGACACAGGCGGCGCGGCCGAAGTCCTGACGGACGCGGCCGTGCGCCGCCACTGGCGGGCCGCGCTGCGGGCGGCCCTCTCGGGCTCCCGTAGGCACCGGGTGTACCTGGACCTTTCAGCGGCGCTGGCAAGGTTGCGAGTTGGCTCGAGCGGAAGTCCGACTACGCGGTCCTGCGGATCGACGTGGCTGCCCACCCCGCCTTCGACCTGTCTCGGCGCGCGTGCGGGGCCATCGTGATCGGCTGGCTGAGATCTCGCGTGGTGCGAGGGGTGATGTGCGCTCCCCCCAGCTCGACGTGGTCTCAGGCCTCTCGCCATTTTTATCGCTCACCTGGCGCTCTGAACGGCCGCCCTGGTCTGCAGGGCGACGCCGCCGCCAGGCTCCGCGTAGGCAGCGCCGCATTCCATTTCGCCATGCGAGTCGGCTTCGAGTGCAAGCGCCTCGCCGTGCCCTTTATTTTAGAAAACCCTGGCTCGTCAATGATGTGGTCTCATCCCCGCATGCTGCTGCTCTCCCGCTCCTCTTGTAAAGACGCCAATGTAGATTTCTGTCAACACGGTACCAGATGGAGGAAGGCCACTCGTTTCCGCGGCTGGTGACCTGCCCTCCCCCCCAGCCTTTGCTATGCAAATGCCACGGCCGGGGTGGGCTCTGCAGTTAGTCTGGCTTGCATCACAACACACTTGAGGGCGGCGGGCCCGGGGGCATGCGGTGGACAGCCATCGCGGAACCCTATCCCGCCCCCTTTGCTGCTGCTGGTCTCTGGCTCCACCGCTCCGCCGAACGCCGCCTGTCAGTTCGTTTGTCCAGCCTCGTCTCTCGTCTCGCTAATGGTCTACTAAGCTGGGGTGACGGCTGCCAGGCATCCAGTTTGGTCTATGGCCTCTTGTTCTGTTGAATGCTCGGCGCCGGGCCTTGACGCTGCCCGGCGCCACTTGGCAATTGCCCTCGCTCTCGCCAGACCCCCGCTCTGGCAGAAAAAGGTGATCAGGGCTGTGCATCGATTCGTTTTCCAAACAGCTTCGCACGCCCCACTCGCAAGCCGCCTGCAGATGTGAACGGTCCGTTCCATCGCCGTCCTTGCTCAAGTCCTCCTCCTCCTCTCCTCCTCCTCTTCTTTATGTCCCAATGTGCCCAAAGTGTTGGCCTCTTGTTATGTTGAATGCTCGGCGCCGGGCCTTGACGCTGCCCGACGCCACTTGGCAATTGCCTTCGCTCTCACCAGACCCCCGCTCTGGCAGAAAAAGGTGATCAGGGCTGTGCACATATATATATATATACACACAAACGAAAAAAAGCTAAACCAACACGACGCATTCATCTCATACCGTTTTCATAACAGTTGGTTGCGTCGTTAACATTGCCATCTGCGACGTTCTCGGCTTCTTCTCCTGGCGCGCAGTCCTTCTGGCGTGCAGTCAGGCGGGCCCGATGGCCGATTGTCCCCCCTGGGGCAGTCGGGCCCCCCGGGCCTGTTGCGGACCGGTGTGATTCCAGTGTTGGAGCGTTCTGTAACGCCTTAGGCCTGGGAGGGAAAACGGCAGCAGAAACGAACGGAAGCGAAAGCGGCAGGGAAGACAAGGAACAGCCTTCGACCAAAAAACAAAGAACATTGCAACATGATGATCCACAGTGACTGACCCAAAGCTCCAAACAACCGGAGTTAAACACGTTAAGACACCGTCGCGATTGTTGAAGCTCGACAGCTCAATGGCAAATCGGTAACATAACGCCCTTGGCGTTTTCAAGAAAACTCAAGGCCTCCTCTTTCGGGCCGGTCGAAAGGGGGGATTGGGAAAGGGGGGGTTACGAAATCTGCTGCATGCAGCTGGTTTCGGCCCCACCGAGGGGCCCATTCCTCGATACATGGTCGCCTCCAGGCGCCGGGAGGCGCCGGGAAAATCAGCTACGTGAGCTGATTCTCAAACCCCCCCTTTGCTATCCCCCCCTTTCGCCCGACCCGACTCTTCCTCTTCCACCTCCTCCCCGTCTCTTCACCGCGCAGGGCGGTGGCGCCGCGCGCCCCCCTCCCGCGCGCGCGCGCGCCCCCCGGCGCGAGCGTGTAGCGTGAGCGCCGCCCGCGAGGCGACGCCGCCCGCGGCGCCGCCCGCCCGGCGAGCCACGCCGCATTCGTCGCCTGGGCGGGGCCCCTGGGGCGTCGGGCGGGGGGGGGGGGGCGAGGGTCCTGGAGAGGCGGGGGGGGGGGGGGCAAGGCGAGGGGGAGTTCATCGAGAGCGGTGAGCGTGGGGGGGGGGGGGGGGGGGGGAGCAAGAGGAGGAGGAGGGGAGGAGGAGGAGAGGAGGAGGAGGAGGATGAGGAGGAGGCGGCGGAGGAAGCGGACGAGGAGGAGGACGAGGAGGAGGAGGAGGAGAGGAGGAGGAGGAGGAGGAGGAGGAGGAGGACCCGTTCGCCGAGGGCCACGGCCGATCCACCCACGAGGCAGCGCGACGGCTGCGAGAACACGAAGTGGGCTGCCGGCCCACGATTTCCAAATCCTGAGCCGGGTTCCGCAACTGGACCTGCGCACGCCAGCCCAGAGACGCCCAGGGCGCCCTCAGACTTGTGGGTGGACGATGTCAAAAACACGTGCTGGCCACCACTGGCTACGACGACTGGACACAGGTTGCGAAGCTAGAGGTGTGGGACCACCTGAGGGACGATGACATCAAGATGTGAGCGGGCCTCGGCCCTCCTGGCAGCTCCTTCGCGGAGCCTTGCGCCGGCTTCCGTTCCGTTCCGTTCCGTTCCACGGCCGATCATGCACGTTGATTTTGTTGTTTGTGTCTTGATTTCGGTTGTGCAAGCATCGACACTGCGTCTCATATTGTTCCGGGTGGTGTGCGCAACGCAGGAAGAGGAGAAAAAGGAAGAGGAGGAGGAGGAGGAGGAGGAGGAGGAGAAGGAAGAGGAGGACGAGGAGGAGAAGGAGGACGAGGAAGAGTAGGAGCACGAGGAGCACGAGGAGGAGGAAGAGGAGGACGAAGAGGAGGACGAAGAGGAGGAGGAGGAAGAGGAGGAGCAGGAGCAGGAGCAGGAGCAGGAGGAGGAGAAAAGGATGAGGAGTCAATGCGCCCCTTCCGCACCACCATCGTCTTGCCTTTACTGCTCCTTTGTCTTGCGTGCACTGTCCGATGTACTGACTGCTTCTCTCACGCAGCTACAACTTTGGCTTTAAGGAAACGGAAGCTGAGCGAGCCTGCGGCGCGCGCGCGTGCGTCGGCTGGCGGGCCGGTCTTCAATGTTACCTTATTGTAGGCTTGACGGCATTATCCCTTCTTCCCCATGTCATCGGCGGAGCCCACTGACCATGATATATTATCGAAACATTTTGCAGGGATTTATGAATATCCAGGCAACAAACTGGCTATCAGCCGAAACGACGGCACAGCCGTTAGTTCCGCAGAACATGGGAACACAAGAAGGAACGCTCGGACAAACAGAAGGCAATTTCCCTTCCGAGCGCAACGAAAGTGTATATGCCTCTACGAGGCGACCGAATTCTCTCAACCTTCCCAAGGAGCAAACATCAGAGGCTGTGTTTGATTCGACAGAAGGGGTCTCATCGGTTGATTCGGCGACGAGGTCCAGAGCGGAACTCTCGCCGAAGGACCATATGAGTTGGTGTCGGTACATCGGGGCTTTTTAGCCATCGATCGACCTAGGTCTTGGGATGGAGAAGTTGTTGTACCACGTCCCCATGGGAATGTCGGGCGCCGAGAGCCTTGGCGCACAACGCGCAGCGCAGTTCGCGTTGCATGGACAGAGCGAGGATGTGAGCGACTTGCAATCGGAAGGGGGCAGCTCTCATTCGATGGGAAAGAACGAAGAATATGCTCGTTTCCACGCCTCGCCTGGCCCATCGCATCATGTCGATCCTCCCCCCGATAGGTGCGTCGAGCTCGCCTCAGGCGCAGCTCCTTTAGCGAACGCAACAGTTGACCATGTAACGGTTGAGGCAATTCAGAAACCAACTCTTGATATGGATCGCGATCTCAAAGCGGAGGAAGCCGAGACCGAAGTGGATGCTCGCCGGCAGAGCCGATGTCAAGCTCCCCCGAAGTCACGCGCGCGAAGAATAATACACGAACATCTACAGGCATGACTCCCCAGCCAATGACAAAGAAGCCGAAGGGTGAGAACGACGACTTAAACTCTTCACCTTTATCGCACGGTTTCCACATGCCAGACTTCTCATTGCCGAGGACTAACAGGGACAGAGTACCAGAACACGACGAGCTAGTAATGCAGGGCGAAAGAGACGATTTAGCACAGAAACGGGACGTTGATTTCATCAATAAGGGCGTGAGAACAAGAGAACAACGCGCGCCTACCTCCAGCAGTGAACGGGGGCGCTCCAGTATGGCCCCCAGGGCCGGACGTTCCAGGTCCAGGGGGTTCGACGCCCTTGGATCACAGCGGTTGTCATCGAATAGAACCATCAGCAACTTCTCGATACGGGAGGGCTGCTGGAACGCCAGGCCCACATGCCCGACTCGGGCGGAGAATCGACGCCCAGGGGGGGCGCGCTAACCGGGGGTCCATGTCGGAGGCCAGTGTGTTCACAATGTTTGAATGTTTGTCTTAAGTGTAGCCTAGCGTGGCTTTGTGGCGAATGCACCACGATGGAAGAGCACAATTGTCACCGTATCGCCATTCTAGAGTGGGCAGAAAGACATGGACAGGATCGAGAACAATAGAATGCTGCGAGTGCACAAATTCAACAGTTCATCTTTGAGGCACAGGTAGATAAGAAGGCAGCTAAAGAGGCCGAACACATGCTTGCAGTTTCTGAGGCAGAGAGGCAGGCAATGGCACAACAGGTGGTGAAGGAGAAAACTGCCATTGTGGAAAATGCGCAGAAATTGATGCGGCATTCTGAGGCCAGTGTAGCAGGAGATACAGACGAAGCTCAGCTGCGCGTTGCCCAAGAGGAGAATGCAAGATTGAGAATCCAGAGTATAGCCGAACCACTGGCGTTCGAATCTCAGCAGAAGGCTGAGAGGGAGAAAACCGAATATAGAGGAATGGCTGATGCAGCCAATAAGGACAGAGAGAAAGAAGCCCGAGAACAAGCAACGCGAGGAATCAGGAGCTCCGCGATCAATTTGAAGCTGCTAGACTCGGCTGAAAGAGTAAGATCGGGGGCCCTGCGAGCCCTTCGAGAATAGGAGCAGAAGGCCCAGGTTATCAGAGATGAGGACCAAAAGAGGATGGCCGTTGCCTGGGATCGTCTGGAAGGGCACGCAGATGAACAGGTGAGAAACCATGTTCTTGCCTTTCGGGCCGCGAGCGAGGAAAACGGGAGGCCATGGTCTGGCCTGGGGCAACATCGGATGGGCAAAGAATCAGTGGATATGGACAGGGCAACCCGCGACATAATTTTTGAAGAGGGCATGGGCGCACAACTACGGCTTCGCCGGCAGCAGTGGGCCCCAAGGAAAAGGTCGGACCAACGCTGGCACAGCCAGCGCACGTTGGGCCGCCTCCGCATCCGATCGCTGCTCGCCCCATCCGGAGGCCTGGCGCCGCGCAGGCTCCAACGCGAACAGGCAATTCGAGTCAGACCTGTCGCCCTTGTACTGAACCTTCAATCGAGGTTTGCAAGGGCTGTTTGAAGCGCGCATGTAGGGGTCATCTGGAATGGGTACCAAACGGTGCGATGAGCGCGCTTGGAAGAAAGAGCTTGGGCAACGGGATGATCGCGAGAAAAAGGAAAAAAACTCAAGGCGCGCCTGGTACTCAGCGGGCCAACAACGATCCCGACGAAAAAGGTGCCGAGACACTCGGCTTTGCATCGGGATGTTGGACCCGAGTGTCAGACGAGCAATCTTGCTGATATTATGGGCATGCCAGTATTTTATATCAGAATAGTCGGATTTTGGTAAGATGCCAATGCTGACCGCTCCGTCTATACCAACGCTTCCTCTTGCAAAATCACACTTCGTTCCTGGGCCGGCCGTCGAGAAGTCCCCGGGGGCGAGCGAAGGTTCGATGCGGGAGTGTGCCCGCGGAACGAATCCTGGGAATGTCCCTTTCAATGCCAAGATATCAGAGCCTCCTGACAACCTCGACTTGCCTGGGCGCCTTCCTTTCACCGTCGGCTCAGCCGCGACTGGCGATGGAGGTGGAGACCCGGGAGGGCACGACGACGATCAGAGAGACGACCAGAGTGCAGCCCCCAGCGCCGGCATGATCGCCGCGATTCAGTTTGATGAAACGGGTGAGCCCAAGCCACCCACAGGCCCTCCAGGGGGGCCCGGTGGCGGCGGCGATCCAGACGGAGACGGCGGCGGGGGGCCGAATGGCCGCAATGGCCAAACCTGGCGGCCGTTTAACGCCAATCAAATGGACGTGAATTGGGGGAGCTTTGGGAACAACAAAGAACTAAACTTGCATGACATACCGGGCGCCCAGACACTCCGAGAATGGATGCAACATTGCATGAGGGCGGTGGCTGGATCATGGCATGCTGTTCGCGCGGCGCAGACATGGGTCACTGAAGCCATGGGGCCCGGTGCGCTGAAGGAAAACCTTAGACTCCGGGGCATTGGTGCGACTTGATATCATGATTGCTACAAGTCTGCTTGAGAAATTTGCAAAAATGAAGCGTGACCAACGTCTGTCAGCACAGCATATTCATTTCTTTTCACACATAAATCGCATGGAGCATTCGCGCCAGATAGAGGGGCGTCTCCTCACGGGTCGAGAAATGATACGAGCGATATGCGTTCGGTGTTCTGTCAGGTCGGGGAGTGGACAACGCTGGATATGCCGTGGCCTCTTCAAACTGACCATGGATCGACATAAGCCCAATCAGGACTTGTTCCATTTCTATAGTGAATGGATGGAGCGGCACCAAGAGTTGTAGGGCGCCAGGGAACCGTCGGATGAAATGAAGGCTTCAATGCATGCACATTTCTACGAACAGATTAGACAGGTCCCGAGGCTTGAGTACGCCATGCAGTGGTATGAATTGTCGACCGATCCTCCGGGCACGGAAATGCGCACTTATCATTGGCTTGTGCTTCATGCCGAATCTCTCATGATGCGGGGCGGAGAACAGTGGACAATCTCTGAACACGAATCGACCCTCAATTCCAGAAGTAGACAGGCTCGCCTGACAGGCGGGGCGAACGAGGGCGGCGGGGGCGGACGAAGAGCCTCTGCCACGGCGGCAACAGCCCATCGATTAGAAGTGCCTACGGACAAGACGGCGAGCGGAAGAACTAAAGGCGAGACGACTTGCAAATTTGTGAAGCAAGGAAAGAATTGCCCCGAAGCAGGGCGAGATTGCCGCTGCAATCGCAAGAAACCCAAACACAGGCCGCGCCAGCGCAGCCGGGAGCGGGCAGTGATCATAGAGCCGCCGGCGGAAATAATGATCGCAGAGGCAGGAGCGAGAGGTCTGGAAGTAAAGGCCCGGCAGGACTGGACCGGCCTCGCTCCTCGACTCCACTGAACAAATTCGGCAACTCGAACGCGGCGCAGTCGCGGGCGAGGAGTCAGTCGGAGGCCTCGCGAGAACGCCAGAGTAAGATGGTGTGCTACGCGTGGTTGCGGGAACCTCGCAACTGCAAGGGCCCTCAGAGTGGGTGCTATAAGCGGTGCAGAGGCTTATCTGAGGCTGAGAAAGTCAAACGTGACAAATACGAAGAAGCACAGCTCAAGGCTGGCAAGTCCTCAGGCCACCAGAGAACGCGAAGGCAAGCTGATTCTGCTGCTGCGAATGCTGGCGATGCTACGCCAGGCGAGGCCCCGAGAAGTCGGGAATCGAGTAAAAACCGCGGAAAGAACAAAAGCAAGGGCAGGGGAAAAAGGGACAGATCACCGAGCACCCACGATAATAATGTACTCCCCCCCCTATACACATAAGAGTTGATTATCCACGGCCAATAAGAGTTTGGTCGGGGGCGCGGGGGCGCGGAGGCCGAACTTCATTATCACCTGAAAAGTTCGCCATCGAGGTTATTCCCTTCTTCAAGGATCGAAACGAGCAAGTCTGCAATGATGTCTCAAGCGAAACAAGTTATGCTTAATGAATCCTGTCGTTCTCTTCTCCTTCTCCTCTCCTCCTCCTCCTCCTCCTCCTCCTCCTCCTCCTCCTCCTCCTCCTCCTCCTCCTCTCTCGTCCTTATCTTTGCTCTCTCTCTTTTAATATGTTTGCTTACTTCCTTCTGTCTTTTTTTTTTTTTGTATTTTTCTCTCTTTCTATCTCTCTCTCTCTCTCTCCCTTTCTCTCTCCCTTCCCCCGTGGCCCCTGAACTTTTTTACCGTTGTTATGTATTATCCAATGAAACCGAGGCAGATGAGCTACCCTACACGAGCAGATGTTTTTTTTTTGTTTAAAAAAAAATTCAGTAAGCGTTTACGCATTCAATTTAATAACGTTTGAACCTTGGGTTTTTGATATCTCCTTCTTCTCTCCTTCTCTTGCTGTTTCTCCTCCTCCTCCTCCTCCTCCTCTTCCTCCTCTATCTCCTCATCTATTTCTATACTTCTAATTATATATATATATATATATGTTTCTTCTCCTCCTCTGCTTTTCCTGCTCTTCCTTATCCTCATCCTCCTTCTCTTCCTCCTCTTCTCTGTGTATATATCTCTTTCTATTTGTCTTTCGTCTCCCCCCTAGCGCCCTGAACTTGTTTATCGCTGTGGTTGATTATCCTGGGAACACTAGACAGAAGAGGTACGAGCAGATGTAAATCTTAATTTGAAGCGTTTACCAATTAAATCTCTTGAGTGTTGAACCTTGGGTGTTTCTTTCGTCCTTCTCCTATTTCTTTTCCTCCTCGAGTCTCAAGCGAAACGAGAGATTTGTCGAGGATGTTTCAAGCGAGACAAGCCATTGTTGAGGATGTCTCAGAGAGGACAAAAAGCCAAGGATGTCTCAAGATATCCTCGGCTTTGGCTCCTCTGTTAACATCTTTATGCTGGCCTCTGGTGCATACTCTAACTATCGCACCGTAACCGCCGAACTTTATTCTCCCAGGGTGTTTATTATCGGCTGGTTTGGGTTAAACCATGTAGGGTGTTCACCGAGACAGGCTCTTGCTCACGAGGCAAAGACTGTCGGTTCGCTAGGAGCACGCCAAACCATCCGTGACGATGGCCAGGCACTGGCGTACTATGGGCCAGTGCCAAGATGATCGTCGCATCTTTCTCTCTTGCCTTGCTGATGCTCATTCGCCTCATGGCAATATAGTCACGATGTTCCCACCGGCTAAGCCGACAAGGGAAGGGCAAGCATAGGCTTCATGGCACAGCCAGCCGAGCCCTCTTTGCCGGCCCTGCTCCGCTGGCTAGGGGATCTCGTGGTCTACAGAACAATTCAGAAGGGCGACCAACTACGGTTAACTTCAACAATGCATGTTCATTTCATCTTGGACAATTGTCCGAGGGAGCTGTTCCCGCTTCCGAAACGCAGCAAGAACGCAAAGAGAACGAGTTTCGTCGCTATCCTCGTTCAGGTACATCATTTTCCAAGGGAGGCCATCAGGCCATCGTTTCCTTTTGTGACGGGCCCCAGGGAAAAAGTTGCGTCAGACCTGCGAAGACGGGTAGATGCGAACTTAATGTCAAGTTCCACCCCTCCAATCGTGAACCGACTACTACTCGAAGGAAGGCGCGTCGCCACAGCCCAAGGGAGCTGCCTGCGAGTGTGGACAACAGATGGAAATTCCCAGATGGGCCCCCAAACCCGTGACAAATCAAGGAGGAGTTCGATCAAAGAAAGGCGGTTCCTTCTGAGTAGGTCGCCCCCCGATGCGGCCCCATGGGCCCCTAAACAATGACAAATCAAGTCGGAGTTCGAACAAGCTGCTCGCGCAAGGTCGTGCGTGAACGCCGTCGTCTCGAATGCGGCGTGCCGCGCCGGCGGCCCGCGTAAGCCGCCGCGTAAGGTCTTTGGGTCGTCTCGCGCAAGGCCTGCTTTTGATCGGCGCTCAGCTGGGCCAGGTTCCCGAGGATTTTACGATCCATGTGTCCAAGGCTGCTCGCTGTGTGATCCGTAGCGCTGGTCCGTTCTTGGGTCTGGTTTGTCTTCGTCCCCTTGCTCCCGTGGTGTGAACCGTTCGGTTCGATGCCAATTCCCGGGGCACGGCCGCGCAGGTTCTCCCCCCCCATGCGGCCCAGCTGGGCCCCCAAATTCGCGCAACATCAAGGAGGAGTTCGGTCAAAAAAGGGCGGGCCCTTGTAAGTAGGCCCCCCTCATGCGGCCCAGATGGGCCCCCAAACCCATGCAACATCAAAGAGGGATTCGATCAAAGAACGGTGGGTCCTTGTAAGCAGGCCCCTCCATGTGGCCCAAATGTGGCCCCCATGTGGCCCAAATGTGTAAGAGGAGTTCGATCAAATGAGGGCGGCTCAAAGGGACCAACAGGACCCGCAACGTTAACGAGTGGTGCCCTCTCGCCGAGCGGCCCTCCTGCGGGCGGGGGGCGGGAGCGGCGACGGGAGGCTTCATTTTTGTGGACTCGACTGCAGTTGACCTCCCACTCGAGGCCCAAGCTGTGCCCTCCCGCCGAGCGGTCGTCTTGCGTGGGGGGGGGGCCTGCGGCGCGGCGGCGGGCGGACGGCGAACCCCGCCCATGCATGCGGCCCAGATGGGCCCCCAAACGCATGCAAAATCAGGGGATCGTTGCTCCAACGCTAAAGGCGAGTTTGGCGGCATCGTGGTTCCCGACGCCAGAGGAGGGGAGCAAGGAGGGGGAGGAGGAACTGACGGATAAAGTCGTTGCGCACAATGGCAGTGGACTCCGGCCCAGTCGCTCAAAGGGGCCCCCGGGCAAGCCCAGGCCAAGCTCAACGATTCGCGCCCTCTTGCCGAGCGACCGTCCTGCCTGGGGGGGGGGGGGGTGGGCCGGCGGCGGGGGGCGCCCGAGGCGGCACGGCGGCGGGGCGGACGGGCCCCCCCCCCGCCCCTGCCGCGGGGGCGGGCGGCAGGCCTCCCAAGGGCCCCCCGCTGCTGAAGAAGGCGCCGCGCGCGCGGCGCGCCCGCGCGCGGCGCGCGCGGCCGCGAGGCAGCGCGCGCGTTTTTCCGCGCGGCCGCGGGGCTGCGGGTCCAGTCGTTCTATCGATCGGCCTTCGAGGCGCCAGGTCTCCGGGCGGAGTTTCAGGCCCGAGGCGCTGCGGCGCTCGATCGCTTCGGGGCCCCCTCGGGCCTCGAGGGGCGCCCTCGCGGCCGCGGCTGGATCCCGCTCGAGACCCTGGCCAGACCGCACCCCAGCAGTCTGGGGGTCGGTCGTCGTCGTCGTCGCTCTGCGACCACGTGCGGGCCCGACTCCTGCGGGTCCACTCGACGCGGGGGTGTCGGACCCAACCGCTGGGGTTGATTTCCCTTGGACCCTGCCGCTGCACTTTTTTCGCGCCGGGCGTTTTCGCCTTATTCCAGGCTTCGGAATCTCCACATATCGATCCAGCTCGAGGAATGCTACAGCAATATCTGGGCTAGGGTTCCGGCCGAGATTTCTCACGACATCGTATTTTTTTCGCGACTCCCACGTCCATTGCCAGAACGCCTCAGCAGCGGCCGGCCGCCCCGCCCGGCCATTCCTGCCGACGTTCGTCGCGCTGTGAGTGTTTCCCCTCTTTCCGCCCCCCGCGGCCCCCTTCTGCCTTCCTCTCCCTCTCGTGCCGCCGGACAATTCGTAGCCCATGCCCCAGGCTACTTCATCGAGCGTGCGGCTTGCCTCTGCTGCGCTGCGACGGATTTTTTTCGCGACTCCACGTTTCAGGGCGGGCTGCACACATCCTGCAGACTCTGCCAGCCACGCGCAGAGGGGGGTGGGAGGAGGGGGGAGGGCTTCTTAGAAGCACCCCTGCTTCTTAGAAGGCGCGGGCCTTATCTATAGATGTGAGGCCGGCGCCTTCTAAGAAGCAGCCTCCTTCTGAGAAGCCCTCCTCCCTCCCTCCACCCCCTTGTGCGCGCCGCCAACTCTGAGCCCCAGCCAGCCTTTCAGGCATCGGACCTGCAGCGGCAGGGCTCACAGGGCGGCTGCCTGCCCGCCCCCGCGCGTTCAGAGGCCCCGGGCGATCCTGCCTTTCCAGTCCGCCCCCGTCGTCTCCGTCGCCGTCGCCGTCGCCTTCGCTGTCGCCGTCGTCGTCGTCGTCGTCGTCGTCGTCGTCGTCGTCGTCGTCCTTCTCGTTCCTCCTCCTCCCCCTCCTCCTCCTCCTCCTCCTCCTCCTCCTCCTCCTCCTCCTCCTTCTCCCCTCCCTCCTCCTCCTCCTCCTCCTCCTCCTCCTCCTCCTCCGTCCTTCTTCCTCCGCGTGCTTCTTTCTCGTCGTTAAAGTGCTGGCGGGGGGAAGGTTCTTGGCCGTTTTCGGCTTCTGGGGGCCCTCGTCGGGCCCCAGGGCCGTCAAAAAACGAGTCCCGATGAGAGACCAGTCCCGAGGACCGGAGAAGGAGGGGGAGGATGATGGGGATGGGGATGGGGATGGTGATAGTGATGGTGATGTAAATGATGATGGTGATGATCATGACGATGACGATGACGACCTTGATGATGATGATGATGATGATGATGATGATGATGATGATGATGATGATAATGCTGATGATGTTGATGATGATGATGGTGGAGGTGGTGATGATGGTGATGATGAGGATGACGAGGAGGAGAAGGATGAGGAGGAGGAGGACTAGGAGGAGGATTAGTGGGATGACGACAATGATGATGATGAGGAGAAGGAGGATGACGATGACGATGACGATGACGATGACGATGATGATGATGATGATGATGATGATGCTGATCATGATGATGATGATTATGATGATGATGCTGTTGATGATGGTGATGGTGATGGTGATGGCCATGGTGATGATGATGATGATAATGATGATGATGATGATGATGATGATGATGATGATGCTAATTGTGATGATGATTATGGTGGTGGCGATGATGATGATTAGGATGATGACGATGATGATCAGGAAGAGGAGGAGGACGGCGATGACGATGATAATGGCGATGATGATGATGTTGATGTTGGTGGTGGTGTTGATGATGATTATGGTGATGAGGATGATAACAATGATGATGGTGATGCTGATAATGATGATTACCCCGATATGTTGATTGTGATGATGATGCTGATGATGATGATGATGTTGATGATGATGATGATGGTGATGATGATGATGAGGACGATTCTGCCAACGATAATAATACTGATGATGATGATGATGATGATGATTCTGATGATGATGCTAATGCTGATGATGATGATGATGATGATGATGATGACGATGATGGTGATGGTGATGGTGATGGGGACGATGATGATGATGATGATGGTGGTGGTGATGGTGGTGGTGGTGATGAGGATGATGATGATGGTGGTGGTGATGATGATTAGTATGATGCTGATGATAATGATGATGATAATGATGATGATGCTGATGCTGATGCTGATGCTGCTGATGATGATGATGATGCTGATGCTGATGCTGATGATGATGATGATGATGATGATGATGATGATGATGATGATGATGATGATGATGATGATGATGATGATGATGATGATGATGATGATGATTGAGCGTGATCTTCCGCCGTTTTGCTGTTGAAAATTCCCTCCCCTCTTTCTCCGGAACCCGATGGTCCCCCCCTCTGAAAATCCCTCCCCCTGCTCGAATCCCCGCACCCCTCTCAAAATCCCCCCCCTGCTGAAGAACCCGCCTCCCGGAACACCGTGGGGGGTCACTACCGGTTCGAACCCCCCCCCCCGCTCGCCGCCGACAAACGACTCCCTGGTCTCCCCTACCGTCCTCACCACCGCCCTTACCACTGTACCCACCACCACCGTCCCCGCCACTGTCCCACTGTCCCCACCACTGTTCCCACCACTGTCCCCACTGTTCCCACCAGTGCCCCCACCACTGTTCCCACCAGTGCCCCCACCACTGTCGCTCTGTCCCCACTGTCCCCACCACGGTCCCATTCTCCCCACTGTCCCCACCACTGACCCACTGTCCCCACCTCTGTCCCCACTGGCCCCACCGCTGTCCCTCTGTTCCCACCACTGTCCCATTGTCCCCACTGTCCCCAACACTGTCCCCACTGTACCACCGTCCCACTGTCCCACTGTCCCCACCACTGTCCCCACCACTATCCCACTGTCCCCTCCCCACTGTCCCCACCACCGTCCCCACCACTGTCCCCACCCCTGTCCTACTGTCCCCACTGTTCCCGCCACTGTCCCCACCAGTGCACCCACTACTGTCCCACTGTCCCCACCACTGTCCCGGCCACGGTCCCACTGCCCCCACTCCCCACCTCTGTCCCCACTGTCCCATTGTCCCACCACCGTCCTCACCACCGCCCCCACCACCGTCCTTACAATTGTTCCACTGCCCCCGCTACTGTCCCACTGCCCCCTCACCACTGTCCCCACCACCACCGTCCCCACCACTGTCCCACTGTCCCCACCACTGTCCCCACTGTTCCCACCACTGTCCCCACCAATTCTCCCACCACCACTGCTCACTGTCCCCACTGTCCCCGCCACTGTCCCCACCACGGTCCCACTCTCCCCACTGTCCCCACCATTGCCCCAGCGTCCCCATTCCCCACCGCCATCCCCACCACCGTCCCAGCCACTGTCCCCACCACAGTCCCCCACCCGGACTGGGGGAGGAGGGGGATTCGTTTGCTGGCGGCGAGGTGCGGGGGGGTTCGAACCTGTAGGGGGTTGGAACCCCCAGTGACCCGCCCCAGTTTTCAAGCGGGGTGGGTGGAACGCGTTTGAAACCCCCAGTGACCCCCGCGCGGTTTTCTGCCAGCAGCGGCAGAACACGTTCCTTCTATCGATGGTGATGAGGAGGAGGAGGAGGATGATGATGATGACGGTTGTGGTGGTGGTGATGATGTGATGATGCTAATGATGGTGGTGATGATGATAATGGTGATCAGCAAGAGGAGGAGCAGGAGGAGGAGGAGGGCGATGACGATGATGATGAATCTGATGATGATGATGATGATGATGATGATGATGATGATGATGATGATGATGATGATGATGATGACGATGACGATGACGATGCTGATGATGATGTTGATGACGATCATGATCATGATCATGATGATGATGCTGATGCTGACGCTGATGATGCTGCTGATGATGCTGATTTTGATGATGCTGATGATGATGGTGATGACGATTAGGATGATGCTGAATATGGTGATGATGATACTGATGATGATGACCATGCTGATGTTACTGATGACGATGGTGTTGATGATGATGTTGACGATGATGATGGTGGTGGTAGTGGTGATGATGATGCTGATGATGACGATGATGATGGTGGTGATGCTGATGGTGGTGATGATGATGATGCTGATGCTGATGCTGATGCTGCTGATGATGATGATGCTGATGATGATGATGATGATGATGATGATGGTGATGGTGATGATGATGATGATGATGATGATGATGATGATGATGATGCTGATGATGATGATGATGATGATGATGATGATGATGATGATGATGATGATGATGATGATGATGATGATGATGACGATGACGATGGCGATGACGATGGCGATGGCGATGATGCGGATGCGGATGCGGATGCGGATGCTGATGTTGGTGTTGCTGCTGCTGAGGAGGAGGAGGAGGCGGAGGAGGGGGAGGAGGAGGAGGAGGGGGGAGGAGGAGGGAGGAGGAGGAGGGAGGAGGAGGAGGAGCAGGAGCAGGAGGAGGAGGAGGAGAAGGGAGGAGGAGGCGGAGGAGGAGGAGGAGAGGAGGAGGAGGGGAGGAGCAGGAGGAGGAGGAGGAGCGGGAGGAGGAGGAGGAGGAGGAGGCAGGAGGAGGAGGAGGAGGGGAGGAGGGAGGAGGAGGAGGAGGAGGAGGGGGGAGGAGGAGGAGGAGAGAGGAGGAGGAGGAGGAGGAGAGAGGAGGTGGAGGAGGGAGGAGGAGGAGGAGGAGGAAGGTAGCAGCAGCAGCAGCAGCAGAGGAGGAGGAGGAGAGAGAGAGGCAGGAGGAGGAGAAGGAGGAGAGGAGGAGGAGGAGCAGGAGGAGGAGCAGGAGGAGGAGCAGGAGGAGGAGCAGGAGGAGGAGGAGGAGGAGGAGGCTGGCGCACTGCCGCGCAGCGCCGCCGCAGCGGTGCGCCCGCGCCTGCAGGCGCCCTCCAAGGGGCTCCCGGACGGCGGCGCGGGAGGCGTCGCTGCACCGTGGGGCCGCTCGCGCCCGTCGTCCTCCATGTCCCCTCCTCGGCCTCTCGTCTCCTCCCTGCCCCCCTCTTCCTCCCCCCTCCTCCCCCTCCTTTTCCCTCCCCCTCCACCCCTCCTCCCCTCCTCCCCTCCCCCTCCTCCCTCCTCCTCGTCCTCCTCCTCCTCCTCCTCCTCCTCCTCCTCCTTCCTAGGCGGCTGGCAGCGAGGCCCCCAGCGCCGAGGCGGCGCGACCACGGACCGCGAGCGGTCGCCTTGGCACCGCCGCCTCAGAAGGCGGCGTGCTGAGGCACGTGTCGGGCTCCGCAGAGAGCGGGGCATAGATCCGCTCGACAGGCACCACGGCAGTGCGGTGCCCATGGGCAGTGATGACAACAGGACGTGGCTTTGCAGATTCTGTGTCCATGCGGCCAGCGGAAAACGGTTCTTCAACAGGCCGAGTCGCACCACATGTTGGCAATGTCGTCGTTCCAGGTCGGCTTGCTTCCACAGCTACAAGAAGCCAGTGGAGCCCAGCAGGCGCTCGA